TTTTTTTTTTGCTTGGGGCAGCAGAAATGCTGGAGCCGGCCCTGCTAGCTGCTTGGGTCAAAAAGGGGCAACAATTCTCTTTGACCTTGCTTGTGACCCTTGCAAGTTCACTTTCTGCAAACATTCAAATGATTGAGGTCTACTAGTATGATCTGTTGTGGAAAGCACATCTCAAAGCCATCTGCATGAGTATTCACAGAAACCAAATACTAAATTAACACACCAGAATGTTGTTTGTGTGCTCATCCTGTCAGCGAACTCTACCACCATCATGTGACTTGCCTGGCCAATCATAACCAATCAACACAGCTTGAATAGCAGTTATTGGTTATAAGGAATTGCTCACAATCAATCCATAATGTTAAAAATATTGCATGGAAACAAGCTACTTTTGAATAATGAATAGAGCCAAGGAGAACACAATCAGCTCCTCTATGAGCAGGAAGCTATCACTTGTCACGAGCTACACTTGTCAGGTAAATTAGCTCTTGTGAATTTTTCCACATCGCTAGAACCGCTGCCCACTGCTTTCCATCACCAATGGGCTGCCATGATTTACAGTCATTTTTCTGACCATAACTGGGCTTTCGAGTCCAACAGAAGAAAGTGTTAGCCCCACCAGCCATAGCTCTTTGTCCTCCAGACCCGTGTACATCTGGCTGCAGTTCTCTACTGACCTTACCCTCATCAACCTGTCACCCACCCAAAGTGCCTGCAGATGTTTCCCAGCTGCATGAGAGAGTACAGTTATGACTTTCAGTTTTGCTGCTAATGACCCTTGGAAGGTTTCCCTTGAAGGAAAATAGTTCAGACCTGCTCCACCTAAATGCTAATGTGAAGGATGGGGCATAATTTATGTCTCTCTTTCACAGCCCTGCCCTTCCACATGAAATGAGAGGAACTCCCACATGTGATGAGCAGGATGTGGGATCCAAATCACTGCTTGGGCACAGACAGTTTCTGCAAAGTGAAAATATTTCCAGTGTACACCTTGGGACGATGAGAGGAGCGGTCACCAAACTGCTTGTTTCCATATGCACTGGAGTGCATGCCAAGGTACAAGCATCCCCTACAGTAAACTGCACTTCAAGATCATCCAACCAGGGACATGGTGTTGGCTTGCAATCATTCTGGAGTAACGCAGCAATGAATTAATTATCTTAATGGTGAGGAAATCGAGAGGGCCACAGCCAATAGTAGCTGGGAGATGGTACTTCACATACAATCGAACTATTATAAAGCATGGATATGAGTCTATAGAAATGTATCCATCCAATATAAACCTAATTTTAAAGTCACTGGCACAGACTCTCAGAGTATGCCTACACTAGAAACGCTACAGCAGCACAGCTGCAGCTCTGCCACTGTAGAGCTGTAGCATAGACATTTACTGCAACAATGGAAGGGTTTGCTATAGTAAATCCACCTGTCCAAGAGGCGATAGCTAGGTCGACAGAAGAAATCTTCTGTTGACCCAGTGGTGCCTACTCCGGGGCTTAGGTTGGCTTAATTACATTGCATAGACTGTGAAATTTTTCACAGTCTTGAGTGATGCAGTTAAGACGACATAACTTTGTAGTGTAGACCAGCCCTCAGTTAAACTAAGTCACATGCAGAGCTAGGAACAGAACCCAAAACTTGAGATTTGCAGCATCATGTTCTAAGCACACCACCATATTCCCCCTATTGGGTGAACCTGCTGGGTCCAGAGAGAAACATGAATTATGAAGAGGTGCAAACAGGTGCTTTATTGGGAATTTATTAGGCACTGAATCACCCAGGATTGTCCTCCGGCAGAAATTGGATCCCTTGGTGGCTGGGCCACTGGTCACATCCTGTAAGGATTTGATGTTCCAAAACAGTTTGATCAGTTCCCATGAAACTTGTACCACACTAGGGACTAAGAGAAAAACGCAGGGAGAGGAAATGAAAGGAAGGAATGAGAAGGCAAAACAGACAAGGGATGAGAAAGCAACAGGATGGAGGAGATAGAATGGCAAGCAGGTGCCCTCCCTTGTCCCTCATTGCCAAGGGCAACCCTCTGACCATCCTCAGGGGCTGGTGAGCAGCCTCTTCCTCACCATGCCAGTGATGGCAGGTTAATTCCAGAATTAGCAAAACCAAGGAAGATTCCCACCAGTCTCCCTAGGCACCATTTCAGACTATGGCAGCATCCTGGAGATGCTCTTCTCTGCACCACTGGAAGCCCTGGGCCTCACATGGCTTCACCTCACATTCATTTCCCACATCCACAAAGCCCCGATAATCCCATCTATTTACCCCCACTCACAAAGACATTGCTCCTCTGGACCAGCGCTGAACTTGCTTTAGAGCTTTGTTTGCTACATCAGCAAAATACAAACCTTCAAAGAAACAGCCAGCAACTAAGTGCCTTCGGGGTGGGGGAATGGTTTATGCCCAGTGCAAATCTAAACCAGAGAGAAGTCCCCATATAACAGCATCCCATATAATGGAGTCCTGTACATGAGAATTCTCTACAGAACCAGAATTAAAGAACCAAGGAAAAGAAGCAGGGGTAAAAATAAGCAGGGACAGGAGTGCCCTGACTTTTCAAACACAACAAAAGCCATTGATATTCAAAGTCTGTTGAAGAAGCCCAGAGCTCACAAAGATATTCTTAATGCAGCCTTCACCATAATCACATAATCCAATAATTCACAGTTAAATCAAAATGCCTTTGTCCCTAAAAATATACAATATAAGTGTTAATGTATATAATAATGTATATGTGGTACCCTGGGGAGGCAGAAAGATTTTTTTTTTTAATCTTTCCAGCTGCCTATCTAAGTATTTGTAAAACACCCATCCCTGTGGTAACTTCACAACCACTCTAGAGATTTCTTTAAATGGTTCTGACCTGACACCTTATCTTTCGGCTGCCTCCATCTCCAGTGTGTGGATCCGGTTACACGAGGCAAGAACAATGTTCTAGGACGAAAGAGGGAGAGAAAAAAAGTTTGTTCAAAGGTAACTGAGTGCTCCCCTCCCTGTAGGCCTGACTGCTGAAGGCATCCTGCATGGATGACTTTGAAGTGCTAGTTTACTTTTTAGGTGAGGATTAGGATTACAGGCCGAACTAAAACTCACAGGCCCTTAGAGAAGCAAAAGTATTTAATAGAGAAGTGCTGGGCTGATGATACCTGCACCTCATCCTCTTTATCCACACAGTGTACTATGTCATCCTAACTCACTGCAGGTGTGACATTAGTCCCAAGAGTACTTCCTCAAGAGAGTATCTGAGCTAGCAATTAGAGATGAACCCCACCAGAACTCCAGATCTGATCCTGCACGCACTGCCTTTGGGAAAGCTCTGATCCAAATCTAAACTTGACAGTTCAGTCCTTCTCTAATGGGACAAACTGGATCCCTGCATCTGAACAACCCTGTATTCAGGGAAAATGCAGACCCTACATTTGTGGTTTGGGCCCTAGAAATGTCCCAGCCTCAGTTTGTGCCAACAACAATTTCTAGCCCAGTGCATCCATGTTCATAATATCTGCAAAATGAAGGCACTCGCACATGGTGCGGGGACGGTTAAGGAAGCCCAGGTTAAAGCTGGCTTTTAGTGACCTTTGGTTGGGGGAAGTTTGGCTCTGTGCACTAACTGCAATGTAAAGAGGGGGAATGGCTGCAGTGGAAACAATCAAAGATGGTAACATAATGCCCAAGCCCCCATGTGGAATAAAGCCAGAGGGGATCAATGACTCCTTTAAATTCCCTGCCTTATGCTACATGAAATCACTGTCTGTTGATGCAAAACACCAAGCAACTTGCTCTGGTTATTCAAGAAAATCCATATCCTTGATATGTAACATATATATACAGCTGAGCGGCATGCATGTACACATTTACCTTGATTGTAAAGCATGCTTCCAAAATGGGGAAACAGCAGAAATGGGGAGGAAATTATGAATTGCTGTACATGATTTTTTACATTGTGTGTTATCAGTTATTTATGTAGCAAGAGTCTCACAGAGTTAATTCATGATAAATTCATGAGGTGTGTGCTTTTGATCGTAAAGAGCTCCTCTCGCGTCTTGCTGTTTCCAGTTCACTATTCAGCTTCCAGAGCTGATTTTCTACCCCGCACGGTAAACTGATGCTGTAGAGAATAATGACTATTCAGCATCAGCTGCCTTTTTGACATGCCATATTCAGGTCGTGAATTGAACTCTGGAAAAAAAATCAGAATTTGGGAAGATTAAAGAGGGATCCTCTGGTGATAGGAATTGTGGAGCTGGGATTTAAAACTCCCTCTGTTGTTGTGTGGAAGGGGGCTTCTGCTTCTCAGCCAGTTGACTCCAAACCAAGAGGCCCCGTGGTAGAAACATTTAACTGAATTGTCCCAGTGTCACAAATAGCTCAATCAAAGTATTGTGCTTATTGCTCGCTTGGGTGAGGTGATGGTTTAGATTCAAACCCTAGGGGCTGTGAACTTTAGGGAAGAAGGAATGGGAGGAAGGAAACAGAGCGTGTGGGTTTAAGTGGTACAGGGGGTTAGTGGAAGGTTTAAGTCACAAATGACAGGAGTTGAGCAAGCTTTACATAACTTCCTTGTGGCTGTTTGTCACACCAGAGCTTCAGGGAGGCGGACAGCCCATGTCTAGAAGAAACTCAAGGCTGGAATATTAGGGGGATGTAGCCAGGACTGAGCCATGTGCAGAACTAGCATAGGGACAATAGGGATGCTGCTGGCGAGGCATGAGATGCAGCAACGGAACTGCTTCATGGCTGGAACCACTGGGATGCTGCAGGTCGGAATGGATGTGCTTTGGTAAAGCTGGACGTGTGGGCCCAGGACTGAACAAAAAGGGGTGCTGCATTTCTGTACTGAAGTGTCCCAGAGGAACAGTGGTGAGGGGCAAGTTGGAGACAGTTCTTGCTGCATGCCCTGCCTGACATTTGCCCATGGCATTTAGCCGCTTCTAGACATGTTTAAATAAAGGACTACTCCCCTCTCCCTACCCCACCCATCCAAGCTCTGTCCAAGGCTCATTCCTTCCTTCCCTACATCTCTATGACCCAGCCTTTCCTTTCCACCCCTGCAACTAAAACTCTTGTCCAGGCCCTCATTATGTCCTCCGATTACCACAACTTACTGCTCTTCAGCCTCCCCAACACCCACATCTCCCTCTGCTGCCAAGAGAGCACAACACAAACACACACTTCAAATGGCTCAATACTGGCACCTCCTCCCCCACTGCACCAAGTTCTTGTCACCACCTTCCAAACCCTACACAACTCCACTCTGCTCATCCAGTCTTGCCTCCTTCTCCTCTGCCGCTGATCTCGGTCTCAGCCGTTTGTTTGTCAGCTCTTCTCATGTGTAGCTCTCCTGCCACAGTGCCCGCATGCCCTTCCCATGCTCATCTGCAAGACTGCTGCTCTCTCCACATTCAAGTCCCACCTCCCCAAAGACCAACTGCTGTGCAATATCTATGGGAAATCAGGTGGCCGACAATAGCAAGTGCAAGGGGCGATTGTGAATAGTTTAGATGCACACTGTTGAAACACAACATAACCATTGTGACAGCACTGACACTGCCTGTGATTTTTATCACAAGCCTTGCAATATTTAGGGGTTTTCATAGAGCCCCAGCTTCTGGAGGCATGGGATTAAGTGAAAATTTCAGCTTTCTTTAAAAAAAAAAAATCAAGAAATGAAGTTTCTATCCCTTGTTTGGGGGGAAAAGCTTGAAAATATGGCCTGAGAACAGCCTAACAGGCTCAGAAACAAAACAGCCACTAAAAAGAATCCCAAATTTGTTACTGATTTTTTAAAAAGCTGAGTTTTAATCCAATCTCATGAGTTTTGAATATGTGGTGGTGGTGACACCATTGTGGTGATGTAACCCTATTGCCTCCTCAACCTCTCTGGGCCTGTGTTGTACCCTTTCCCCCGTCTGTCTCCTGGGGATAGCAACATACCCAGTGCATTGTAGTCACTACTGGAAATGAATAACACTAATGAGAGGAAGATGAGATCAGCTCGAACACGAGGGACTGGCTGCATATGAACCATCATTGCATGGGCGGTAGGAGACAGAGACCCAACAGTCAGCCTGGACTGGCTACTGCAATAGAAAGAGACCCCCTCAAGGAATGGGCTCGCAGCTGGTGCTGCTCCCTACTGGCCATCAGGTAATGAGGGAGAGGAGATGGGGCTGTAGGAGCATGTGGGGGTCCCTCACTTCCCCTTTCACTCCTGACTAGACCCCGGAGCTGGGGAAATGGAGGGAAAACAACCCTCCCTCAGCTATTTGGAATCTTCCAGCATTTCCAGAAATGGGCTTGGGGGAGGGCAAAGGGGAGTGTAAGAACATGCCAGCACCTCAGGAAAGAGGGAGAAACCTGGAGGGAGACCTGGGAGGAGGTAAGGAGACTCACCGGCCAGGAAAGGGAGGTGTAGCAAGTTCTACAAAATGGCTACCTCAGAGGTGCAGCGGTTTGGCTCTGCCCTATTTAAAGAACCAGCCCCAGAAAGGAATGCTGGGACAAGAGAAGGTTCTATAAGAAGGCAACCCTATGGTGGGGGAGGGGCCAGGCTGTCACAGAGGAAGAGGCTTTTTCTGGGGATTGTAGACCAATGTTATATCACAGGGTGAGCAGTTTTCCAAACTGATTCACCCACCTCTCATTTCAAATAGGTGTAAGGGGAGGAAAGAAAGGTCTTGCAGCTAACACACAGGACTGAGCCAGGAGTTCTGAGCCTGGCTCTGCTGTGTGAAACTTAAACCTCAGTGTCTGCTTCCCCATCAATGGACTGTGATCATGATAGTTTCTTCTCTCACAGAAATGCAGAGAGATTTAGCTAACGAGGGTCAGATTTTCATGTGCTCAGCCCTTACATTGGAGACCAGCACTGAATGCATGGGGCTCTTTTGAAAATCTAGCCCTTAGAGTTTGTAAAGTGCTTTGCAATCCTGGGCTCCTCCAGCTGCTACAGAATGGCAGAATAATCTCAATTTCCTGTGCACATCTCTAGGCAACAGGACTATGTTATATAGGGGTGTGTATGTGGACTGCATATGGGGAGACATTATCCAAAGTGACTCCTTTCTCTGGGTCCCCCTGTGCTCCTTGTCTGCCTACTAGACTACAAACTCCGCAGCACAGAGACTGCCTGCACAGCACCTAGCACTTCAAAAATAAGCAGAGGAGTGAGTGTGAAAGAGAGCACAGGGGGTGTGCCATGCACACTTACGCACCCTCCCCCCATTGCAGTCATCAGGGAACTCCCTGCTGGAACTGCTTAATGCAGGTTAATGTGGCTTTCGATTGGAGAATGCAGGGATCTCTGCAGCGCTGTGTACCTCCTGCCAAGAAGGGAGAGGAGATAAAAGACAAACGAAGGGGAAGGAACCGGAATGAGAAATTAAGTTCTGCTTCATCCCCCCAGCAGTCTGGGAAGCAAAATAAAAATAAACCACAGGGTGACAAGGACATTCCCTGTACTACAAACTCTCAGCAAATTAGGCTCCTTAGGCCCATGCCCCTCTCGATCCCTCCCCTCAGCCCTGGTAAGCAGGGAACAAGATTTCCTGAGCCATCCCATGGAGGCTGAATGCTGTAGGAGGGAGTAACAAAGCCTGGGAAGGCTCCTTCAATGCACAGAGAAGATAATCACAGGTGATAATGAAGAGAAGAAGTGTTTCCTGTCAATAATACCAATAGAGGCCTTTCATAGGGTCTCTTCAGATTCACTCCACTACTGTGCTAGGGTTTCTCTGGAGCTGACAAACAGCAGTGTGGTCTGAAACAATAAGCACCAGGCTGAGAATCAAGAGGCTGTCAGCTTGAACATGACATCTACCACTGACTTGCTGTCTGACCTTGGATGAAAACTTAATCGCTCACCCTCAGTTTTCCCCATCTGCAAAATGGGTATAATAATGCTTACTCATCCATATCTCAGAGTGTTAAGGTTAAC